ATTATATTTATTCTACGATTGCATTATAATTTTTTTTTAATTAAAATTTTATCAAATAACAATTATAAATATAAAACAAATAATGTTATCTCTATTTATAAGTACGGATAACTAGAGTTATAATAATAAAAAAAAGTTTGGCGAGCCTATAAATTTCACTCAATATTCTATAAACCTTTCAAGAGCTTTGCCTCGATCCTTTATAAGGAACGCTACTCCCTTATCTCCACTCGTTAACTAGCTAGCAAGATCGTTGAGACATAATGTCCAATACTGCATGCCTTCATTCATATCGCCTTCCCAACTTAAAATGAATAGCATGCTTGACTAAAAATAGTTGCACGTAGCTTGTTGTCATTACCGTTCAAATATTAAAGAGAGAAGCTTCTATAAGATGCCCGTTTGGAAATAAATAATTCGTTATGATTAGTTTTGGTACAAGAAAAATAGCTTAAAAAAGCCTAACCAATCTAATGAAAGAAAAATTATGAGAGATTTTCATTAGATTGATTAGGCCATGAGCTGTTTGTTTGAAGAATAAATCAATTCTCTCCCTCACCTAAAGCAAATTTAATTTCTTATAGACCAGGTCTTACGTGGGACAAGCATGCCTCTATTTTCGTATTTAATGCTGTGAGTTACTGATACGGTGGACTGGTCCATCCATGAAAAGGACGGAATTGACTAGTTCCAATTGACAATTCTCATTTCAAGGAACGCAAAGGAGCCAGTTTGCTAGGTTTGGCAATTCTATTTCGAAGAAATTCGTAGATAAGAAGCTTACGTGCATCACATGAATGAATGAATGAGATGGGATCAATTTGACTTTGAAAGGGATGCCAAAGGAAATTCCCCAATCAATGGTAATTTTATCATTTGCATCTCGAACAAAAATACATTATTCCTGATGGAAAGTCACACACAACCACATCTCATGTGGGCTCTTAAGGTTCAAAAATTTCACTAGTTCGACTTTGGCACTTTTGAAAACGCTGGACCAGAATTTAGAGCCTTTGTTGTTGGGTTAAAGATTCTGAATATCCTTTTACTGTTTCGAATGTCGTAATTATATTATTTTTTTAATTATCATGTCTTTTAATTGCTTCTATATTAGTCTTTTTTATCATTTTTCAAACAATAAAGATAAAAATAAAAAAAATGTCAAAAGTTATTTTCGTTGTTTGAAAAAATGATTGAAAATATTAAATACAAACGTAATTAAAAATAAAAAAATGATAATTAAAAATTTTAATATAAAGATACGATTAAGACATTTGAAATTATAAAATGATATACTGAACCTTTATCTTTTTCGTTATTATTATGTTGTTTTCTGCTATAAATGAAAAGTAGTGTTAGTAATAGTTAAAAATAAAATTATATGCATGCAGTCACAATTTTTATAATATTTTTATTTATATTGGAAACTTTTTATTCGTTTATTTTAAAATTTAAAAAAAATGGCGATTTTTTCCATTCATAAATAAGGGCTTTTTCTATTTTCTAGTTTTTATTTTTTATAAATAGAAACCATACCCTATGAAAACAGAAAAGCTTGAACAAATAAAATCAAAATTTTCATGAAAATAATTATATTGAAAAACCATACCCTACGAAAATTTGTATTTTATCACACCATTCAAGTCGTTTTCATCCATACATCAATCACTTTATCCGTCCCACCATAAAACCCAAATGCAATAACTGCCAGGGCAGCATGCCATAGTTGCCCAAAAATGCCGGACCTTTAAAAAAATAAAAATAAAAAGAAAAAGAAAGCTTGGATGCACCAATGCGTACGAGGGTGTCATGGCTAATTGGCTATTGGCTCGTGGAAAACACCGTCAACCAGGTTTTGGTAGGGTACGAAGGTCACTTTTTTCTTGAATAAATTATAAATTAGTCCCTCTAGTTTCAATAAACGAATTAATTAGTCTTTAAAAAAAAACTATTATTTTTTAGCCTATACACTACACCATACAATAAGAAATTGGGAGAGTGACCCACAAAAAAGCGATAGTCAAATATGATCAATCACATACAACCCAGACTTATTCTTCAAACCCCACATAGCCCCCAAGGCATCTTAGTACATGAGACAATCCTTATCTTTTATCATGCATAAAAGTATGTTATTATATTAAAACTATTTAAAATAATCAGCAGTAAAACACAAGTTGGTTTTTAAGTAAATTCATTATACATAAAAATAATTCGAATTCTGAAATTATATTTGTTAAAAAAACTAAATTTTATCATTATCATTCTGAACATAATTAATATCTCTTACGAAAAAAAACATTTAAAACAATCAAATTAATTTTAAATATATTTTGAAATGTATTCCACGAACGTTAGGTAAAAAAATGAGTTTGTACCTCTATTTCTATGTCTCTGGAGGTCTGCATATTGCCAATAAATCTAACGAATATGTGCTATTTATGTCAGATCTATGATTTATGTATATAAGTTATTCTTACAATTCCTGATCAGCTATTAAATAATTCTTTTATTATATAGAAATTTACGCAGTGAAGGCTTCGAAAGGCAAAATTTCCCTGTTTCAAAATGCATGTCCCTGTTGAGCAGTGACATCCCCAATTTAAGATGCTCTCCTCCATTAAGAAACGTAGCCAAATACCGATTCAGCCAGTTGTCAACCTTATCCACTTAATGATAACGGATTTAATGGCACATTTATTAAGATTTTATAATTTTTAATTTTTAATACAAAATTATATAATTTAAATCTTAAAATATTAGTTTTTGAGTAAAATTCATCGAGTTCTTTAATTGTCAATGTATATAATGATTAACTTGATTGATCGTCATTTGAAATAATAAAACGACATCGGTTTGATATTATGACGTTAATGTGTGTTTTTTTAAAACATTTTTAATGCCTCTAATCTTGAACTCTTTTTTCTTATAAAATATAATAAATTATATATAAAAAATTTATAAATATTTTTAACCTCCTAATTTTGTAATTTTTTATAAAATATTATAAATATTTTATAAAAAAAATATTGTAAAAAAATAATTAACAATATTCAATTTTAGGCTTTTAAAAAAATATTTTATAAATTAAAATGAGCATAGTTGAATCCTCTAATTTTATAAATTATAAATTATAAAAAAAATTATAAAATGCTTATAACATTATATAAAGAAAAAAGTTTTTAAAAAAGTTCAAGATTGAGAGATTAAAAATATTTTTAAAATGCTTATTTTTACATTTTACTATTAATTATAATTAACAACAAAACGTCAAAACGATATTGTTTTGACATTTTAAGTAACAATCAATCCATTTGACCGTTACATATAATAGTAATTAAAAAAATTAAATTAATTTTACTTAAAAACCAATACATTACTAAATTACACTAGAATGAAAACCAAAAATGCCTTTAAACCAAACATGACCTGACCAATACCTATTAATAAGTAAATTACCTTATCAACCTATGCCCGACGTGTATCTGTTCGTTTAGTTCCCGTCCAAAAATTTATTTTTTTGATAAATTACTTTTTTAATCCTTACATTTTGGAAATAGTTATTTTGGTCCTCATTTATTAATATATTCTTACAACTAAGTTCTCAATTAGAATTTTTTTACCCCAATTTTTAGAAATCAAATTCAGTCTCTATTTTAAAAATGCTTTCTATTAGTTCCTTACATGTCAAAAGGTATTTTTTTTTCTTTTTCTTTCTTTTAATTAGCGAGTATTAGGAGGATATGAAATGTATACCCATGCAAATTAATGAGTTTGTATGTATATATTTTTTTACTAATACCCACTTTAATATCCAATTAAACATATTTAATGAGTATTTATTAAATCAAATACTCTTTTTTATATACAGTTCATTTTCCATCCCTACATATAATTATTGTAGCAAACAAACAAACCTAGAAGTTTTGTGCCAAAATGATATATCTTGGCATTCTCAATTTTATCCACAAATAAATTTTGTATCAATTTTATCTTTCAAATTTAGAAATACTTAACTAAGTCTTTCTATCCATATTTGTCATGAATTCTATCCAAATGTTATTTTATTTTTTTGGTAAAAAATGAAATCATTTTATAGCTAACTTAACATTTTCTATTAAAAATTTGCCACAAAATGCCTAATAAAATGACATATCTAGTTATTTTTTATACTTCTATATGAGTAGAATTTTTATTTATTTATTTTATGTATGTCTCTTATTATTAGTGTTATGGGTGTAAACCAATTATTATTATTGTAATAGTTTAAATTATTTATATTTAGGTAATATTATATAAACTTTTCCGTTGTTAAAATTATAAGTGTTATTATGTATGTAATAACAATTACAATTGTCTTATTCGTGATAAAAGACACTATAATCATAGTGACATTTGGAATGTTTAATAAAATGGTTTTAACTCACTCAAATTATTTAAATAAAATATAATTTTCTTTTTGTATTAAAAACTATACACGGTATAAATTTTAAAAGACACTAGAAATATCTATTGATCTAAAATAGTTTATAATCTACACTTTAAATATCACTCATGAAATTTAATTGATATATTTAATTTTTAAAAATCCTTGAAAGGTTGGTTCTATCAGCAAACAATCTTTTTTTTGAAAAAAATCTTCAAGATATGCATATGCAAAAACTTGAAACTGAGACCTTATGTTTAATCGATTAGAGCTCCTTCTACCAATAAACAAGTGTTTTTTTTCTTTTAAAGATACACATGGCATAACCAGATTAATTACTTACATTAAGTTACTACAAGTTAGTATAAAAAAGCCCTTTAAGGTTAATTACTGCGAAAAATTTTATAATGTTTCCTGACTGCCATTCATATAGGAATTGCTGCTTCTTTGTTGATCCGACAGTAATAAGGGAAAGAAGAAATTTTTATTTTTTTATTAATAATCAGGCATGTGAAGCATTTTCACATTCCGGGCAACGTACAGCCTTTATTTCTGCAACTTGCAATAATTTTTCTCATGTGAGGTAGCAATACAACCTCTTCAAGATGTAGTATAGTATAATAAGAGAAACGATCTTGAAGAACAACGAACTCAAGTTTCTTTGTGTGCTGCTTTGTGGTTGTGCAAGGGCCTTTTGCTCTACGCTTTCCTTGTCTTTCCTGCAAACAAAAAGTTTCTCCTGGTTCAATCCAGCCTAGTTTGGTTCCAAGAATTAACCAGGAAAAAAATTGTTTATATAGGTATAATATGTAGTATGAGAAAGTTCATTGTCTTCACCTTTGGCTTTGAGGCTGATGGGGTTGTGTGATCCTGTCACCAGTCAAAAAAAAAATCGAATTGAGATTAGATTGTAATAGAAAATTTAATCTGATTAACTGTGATTAAATTAAGGTGGAGTTAAATGACATGCCTTTGCGTTAGCTGAGTCTTAGGTACTGGCACTGGGGATTTGGCTTTCTGGGTTGGAAGTGATTGCTGAGATTCAGCTGTAGCAGTTGGTGCTGGTTCTTGGGGTTTAGGTTTTGCAGTTGCTGAAGGGTGTGAAGGTGGAGCAAATCCTGGGATTGGGACATTCTTTGCCTGCCACACATAGTTGTAAGAATAATCAGAGGTGTAATTTCCTAGGACTTGAGTGGCTTCACATTACTAAATAACTGTTTAAAATAACCCACCAAATTCCTGAATTGGAGATTGTAAAAGGTTTCAATATATCTTTGCTTCGCAAGCTTCTGTTCACTGTTCATCTGCCTCCAAAATCCATAAACGGATCCCATGTTCAACACTTTGCTTGCGTAGATCTTCCAAGTATAGCTGCAGGACAACATGAATGATCAGTTACTAATTCAAAAGCTTATATCTGACGGATATTTGGTAAGGTTGCGCATTCACCACTCGTAGATGCGTTGGAGACCAGCTGCTGACATCTTATTCCAATAGTCAGCATCTGTCTTGCACTTCTCGAAGAAATCTGCTATCTTGTTGCTTGACTCATCGCCATTGTTGGGATCAATGTGGAATCCTGAGACCCCATCAACAATAATTTCTGCCGGGCCACCTTGATTGGTGGCAAAGGTAGGTAATCCACAGTTCATTGCCTCGATGACTGTTAGGCCAAAAGCCTCATAAAGTGCAGGCTGAACAAAAGCTCCCTTTGTGTCTGCAATCCAGCGGTATAGCTCTCCGTTTCGGAATCTGTCAGTTTGAGCTGCTATCCATCTGAACTGACCTTTAAGTTGGTATTTCTCTATCAAGGCATGCATCTTTTTGATCTCTGCAATTTCTTCTCTATCATTTGTCTTAGATGGATCAAAGAATCCCGCTACAACAACGAGATTCACCAAGTTTCTTAGCTTCGTGTTCTTTCCATACCACTCTGTCAGCCCTGAAATGTTTTTCACCGTATCCAGTCTTGCCATGGAGAAGATAATTGGTTTCTTCTTGTCTGCAAGATATCCACTGTTCCAGGCATGTTTTTCGATTAGTTTCAGCACAGAATAACGACTTTTTAGGCTTTCTTTTGCTGATGTTATTTGTGCACATGAGATGAAGGAAACTTCATAAACTTACGTATGCTCATTGTTATCCTCATCGTCATAGAGTAGTTCTTCAATGGCAGGATGAAAAGAGGTTAGCCGCTTCTGTTTCTCGGTGTAGGGGAAGTAGACAGATTGATCAGCCCCAGGAGAAGCAATGTTGAACTTTGGATCAAAGACATTGATCCCTGACACAACACGGGCAAGTCCTGGCATAGTAAATGCCACATGGCTTTCATACTGTCCTGCCCTATCCTTGCTGAAATTGAAGCAAATTTTTGAGTTAGCAATACAAATTATATTGTTCAATAGGTCTGCTTAGAACTGATGGTGGTAGATAGAAGACAAACCTTCCTGCAATTTCTTGGTATGTGCTGGTTATGATAAAATCAGCAGCATTCATCGCAATTATGTCTGCCGTGAATTGACAGGAAAAGTGGTACTTGGGGTCAAATTCCTTCCACTTGGCATCAGAATCTCCATACTTAGTTTTCTCCAAAGCATGAGCAATAGTTCCCTGGAATTACAGCAAGCCAAATTTCAGAAAAAATAAATAGTGGATTAGTCTGAGTTCTTTATTTCAGAAGTGAGAAATTCAACTAATAGAGATCAGCTTAAACCAGAGTTATGCCGAGTTTCTGCGCCATTAGAGAAGCCACCAAGTTCCCATCACTGTAATTCCCAATGATGAGATCGGGTTTACAGTCCATGTGTTCAAGGACCTTATCAGCAGCATCCTAGTGATCGGTGATGAGCCAGAGAGAGAGAAAAGATTATTACAATCAGTATGAGTTCAAGAAAAGCAAGTTGAAAATAAAAGATAGAAGGAAATGGAGGCATATACCTGAGCAAATCTCTCAAGGTAAGGGTAAACATCGAAACGCGAAACCCACTGAGGGAGAACCCCTTTCTCTGTCTTGAAGGGGACTCTAACAATGTAGGAGTACTTTGTACCGAAAATAGGCTCCACCTCTTGGTTGCAGGTTGTCCCTTCGGCATTTGGTATAAGTCGCGTTATCTGTATGTTAGAAAATTATAAGAGTGAAAGAAGCAAAGAATTATTCTGAATCGAACTCTCCAATTGAGTGGAGAAAGATGAACTTTGGTAATGTTTACATGCGTCTCACCACAAGAATTTGAGGCTTCACACCAAGGCCTTGCTGCTTTATTTTAAGCAGCAGTTCTTCCTCAAAAGCTCTTACTTGATCAAGAATGTAAACGACCTGTGTGTCACATATAAGCAGATCAATTTAGTGCACTGCAATCCAGGATTATGAAAATTATAATCCCACAAAACTAACAGCGTGTAGGATTGTCTTACGAACCTGGCCACCGGTGTCCGGCAACCCGAGGACATCTGACTGGCCGAAGTAACCGTGTGGAGAGAAGATCACAACGTTGAACATGTTGGGAATCCTGCTAAAGAGCAACTCCAGTTTCACGGGGTCTGGAGCTTGAAGTGATTCAGAAAGCATCCTCATCGTCTCTTTAACTCTTTCTGCAGTGTCTCCCCATCCCTTGTCAAATCCCAAATCTCTCAAGCTGAATATTATTTCACAATCAGCAATATGAGACGTTTATGAGATAGTATCCATTTTCAACAGGCATAGATGTGTTCATGGAAATAAAGGACTAGATGAATGACCTCTGCTGGAAATCCTGATATGGGGTGTGTTTCGGAAATGAAGAGACGACTACTTCGCCAACAATCAATGCTGCTTGAAGCTTGGAAACTGTATCTAGCGTTTGATTGATCATAAGATTCTGCATATTACAACATGATCAACGTTACCGTCTAAGAGTGGTAGATCATTGCTATCATCTTGCTAAATGTGAGGACAACTACCTCTCCTTGATGATCGAGCGCTAACAAATAGTTGAGCAGAGGCTTCGCGGCGTAAGAACTTCCACTAAGCTTTGAGGACATGAACTTTGACATGTAGTTGAGTCCATTCCCAATAGAAGAAGAAAGAGTTAGATGAGGAGTAGAGAAATCCATGGCTCCAAAATCTACTTCCAACGCATTTGCATCGTTCGCCCTGCACATTAATGTTGCCGTTATCAGAGGGAAAAGCTAGTTCCAAAATCATTCAAAAGATTGTCATTTGGATTTGTGCATACCATTTCTCATCGAAGATCATTTCCTTAAACTGCAAATATTCTGAAACGGAGACACCATCTACGCTCAAATCTTCAGCATTCACTCTAACATATTCCCAGAAACCCGGATTCGGTCTTACGGCAAATGCAACAAAAGGTGGGACGACAGCTGCCTCCTGCAAATTGTTTAGATGAAAAAGAAACAGTTTTAAATCCACAAAGAAGGAGACAGCTGCAGATGAAGAAATAGAGAAAGAAGGGAGATCAAGAATGTTACCTGAGTGCAACTCAGGATGTAACCAAGTAAGCCTTCCAAGACCTTTTTCCTTTCACTCTTATCTTGTATTGATTTATCAACTTCATCCATTATATGTTGGCGTTTCATCAGTCTTTTCCCAGGTGCAACAAACCTTGTTTTTTTTTTTTTTCCCAACACCCCAACCGAGAGAAATAAGAAGAGGTGATAATTTTCCCAATGGTTCAGAACCAGAAAATAATGAGGAAGTATTAATGAACTTCATCAGAAAAATAAAAAATAAAATTGAAGTCCTCAAATACCTGGAAAAACATCTCTTCATGTGATACCGGCTCTGCCTTAATGCATCAGGCATGCTGTCGGCAATTGTTTCCGATCGCTTAAGGACTGGCGAGGAAGCCATTTCAGAAGGAAAACAAATGATGACCGAAAACAGAGAGGTTTTGAAATCAGAAAGAAGCTTCTGTGTGCTGTAATGGGTGTGTGATAATGTGCTTATATAGGAAGGTGGTAATTTTAAAAAAATGATAACAGTTGGCTAGGCTTTGGCTAGGAGAGGAGGAGAAAGAACATTCTTTGTTGGAAAGAAGTCTTAAAGAAAAGAAAGGAATGTGTGATTGATGGAAGAAGCAAATTTAGATTGCCTTTTTGCTTAATATCTTAAAAGTTGAGGGGAAGAATGATAATATTGTTAGTCTTTCTTCGTCTTGAAAAGCATGGACAGTATATTATATGCTTTTCTTCTTCTTCTTCTTCTTCTTCTTCTTATAAGAAGGTTACAAACAAGCTGTCACGTGACTAGTGTCTCTACAAAATTTTATATTTATGATCTCCATGTTTCAGCATCTTATCATAACCTTCAACTTTCCCTTGCAGTCATTTCCCATATTCTTTGGATAAATCACAAGTTACTTCTTGAATTACGTGGTTTTTTTCTTTTTTTTTCATTATTTTGTTAAGATGACGTTCCTATCTTTGTCTATTAGGCAAAGTGAATTCAGGTTTTCTTTCTTTTTTTCTTTTTTTTTCTTTTTTTTAAAGAAACAGTGAATGTCATCAAAAGAGCCATCAAAATGAAAAGTTAACTTTCACATCAATTTAGTCCATTATTTTCTACACTAAACTAGCACCAGAACACATTTAGCTTTTGATCGATTACTAAATTTATTTTTATATTAAATGAGCTTAAATCATTTGATATCAATATAAAATAATTATAATTAATTATTTATCAACAGTAAAAATTGAATTTTGATCTTATCAAACAAAGATAATTCTCATAGCGTGAAACCGTAAGTAAATTTAGTTTCCAAAAATTGTTTAATATTTTTGCTTAGTTAAGAAACTTCCTTTTTCTATAAAGGGTAAATTTTCTAGTCCTTCTCTGTAATCCCTCACTGACCCTTCTTAGTGGGCTGAATTTATACTTAAAGTTACTTTTGGGCCACAAAACTAACTAGCTAACAGCATCGGACCATACAAATTCTAAATATATATAATATTCTAACTTGAAAAGCAATCCGCCAAAGCTCAAATTCATATCGCCAACTAGCTTTGTCATCATTTTTCATCGGTTAAATTGTAAAATATTACTTTTTAATCTGAGAGGAAAAAAGAATATTTCTCTTGATTAAAAAAAATTCTAGATTTTACTTTTTCAACAATATGATTTTTTAAATTTGTCTCAAATTGACAGAAAAACTCTTTAAAATCCTCTCAATTTCTCCTCTATTAGGAAACTTGTTTCATGGGCTTTTTTGCCAATTTCAATGGAACCCTAGCAAAGGGACAAATTCAAAAAAATTATATTGTTTAGGGAGTAAAACCAAAGACTTTTTAGTTCAAGAGGTATTTTATAATTTAGCCCTTTTCATCCATTCATGTTACAAGACTACTAACAAAATGTTGGTTTGTCTATTACCTCTCTCTAAAATCCCAACACCTCCCGGCCCTCCCTTTTCTTCTTCTTCTTCTTTTTTTCCTTCGGGCTGTAAGTTCTCTTTTTTCACCTTTTTTTTTTTTTTTCAAATATCTGAATTTATATGTTCAAAATTTTATGTGTTTTTCTTTTTTTAAATAAAGTAGATCTACATCCTTATGGATTTGGATCGCTCGAACTAAACTATCTAGACTTGTATTTTGTTGTCCATTTAACAATAATTTATGTGATTTAATTGTGTAGTATGAAACATGTTATGAAACATGGATTTGGGGTGTAAAAAATGCTATGAAGATAGAGGACATCGTTATCGTTAAAACCTTTTTTTTTAAAAAAAAAGTAATATTGTATAAAATTATAACATATTCTCGTTAGTTGTATTTTTGTAATTACAAAGTGTAAAAATTTTCATTAATGTGACACAGTCTAATTCAAAATTGTATGATTAGACAAAATTTGAAGAATTTATTTTATATGATGGACCAATAAAAGAATAGCAAATAGTAATATAATTGTCCGTTTTGAAGATTTTGTACTTAGTTTATATTCTACACATAACTAATAATTAATAAGATATAAATCTTTTGTAATAAGTTTATTAATTAGAATTGAAATAAATATAAAAATATTGTTTATTTATAATATTTCTCTTTAGTAGTGAGAAGTTTATAAAGGAGAAAAAAGAGAGAGTACATATATAGAAAAGACAATAGGTTGGTTTAGATTACCAAACCTAAATCTATAAATCAGGTTTGGTTTTATTCTTATTATAGATTCGGTTCGGTTAGATTAATCTAGGTTCGCATATTAGAAACTTTAACCTAAACCTATAATTTAGTTACGTTAACTTGCTTTTCAAGATTTGGTTCCTGCGGTTTGATTTGATTTTTAGATTCACATGGTTTTTTCAAACAACCCTTATTTTGATGAAGTTTTGGCAAGATAGATCTTCCATCAACGAGATCAAACAGTACAGCTTATTCTTTCATTAATAGAAGTTTTGGCAAGATACTAATGAAACCTTTTTTTTTTTTTTTTTTTGCTTTTTCAAAAAAAAAAAAAAAAAGATCAATTACAAGAATATAGTGACAATCAGAAATCAAAGTAATTCCTGTGGGACCTTAATTGTTCGAATGATATCCATTGGATTCGAATTAAATTGCCTTACTCTAGATTATCGGACGTGAATATTTAAAATTCTTATCCACTGAATAATTGGTATATAAACATTGTCAAACGTAACCCCAACCCAAAATATATAATTTTATAATTTTAACATATATATATATATACACACGCACACCTAAAATAAATGAATGTATATATATAAAAACTACTCAGAAAAATAGAACTCCGATGGATAAACAAAACCAAATGAAGGATATTCGAAACCCTATAAATATCTATCGTTCTCATCCAAGTAAAAAAATAAATACCAGTAAAAAATAGATAATTAAAATTTCTCATCCGATCCATAATAAATAACGCAAGGATACCAAAAACCTGCCCCATGAGTACTCAGTGCCATCCCTAGAAGTAGTGTTTGTTACATGTGTTAAAAGACGGTAAAGCCCTCAGAGCGTGTTGCAAGATCCCAAATCAAAATTCACAACAACGCGCTTCCAGAAGCTTGCATTTGCATTCAGCTGTCAAACGAACGGTTAAAAAACATCTACCACGACCGATACAAACGCACAAGCAATAGCCAAATATGGATCTCAACAAAATCAGGGTACAAATGCATCCAAGTTATAAGATGCATTGACCAGAAATTCACCTCCGGATTTTGGAACTAAATCCACCTGGACACCTGCCAATTTCAAGATCCAGGCAAAGTCTAAAAGAGGGAAGACAAGAAGTTGCACCGGTTGTAAGACGCATGAAATGCCAGTTTAAAGAGAAGTTGGTAACTAAAAAAATTTGGAATTCAGGACATTCAATTTAAAGGAAAATGAGCAGAACGAATACTGAAGTAGCAACTTTCTGATTACTGCAGTTCTCAACAAGTAACTTAAATATCAACTTTCTGGTTAGCTTGATATTGTCCTTCAAGGTGTCTGCCAGTATCAGTAGCCTTCCCAACAGAACTCTTTCAACTAGCAATTTAAACAACAATCCAAAGGTGCGGCTCTCCGAAAATCCTAACAGTAGAACATAACCCGCTTGACATTCTCCTTCAGGGCGGGCAGGGGCCTCACAGCAGCACTAGCAGCAGGTCCACGTGTGGGTTGAGCACCGGCTCCTACACCTCCACGTCCAGCAGCCATACCGCTTGTCGTTGATCCGCTGTCAGATGTCTCTGGTTCCAAGTAGAAACGAGCTCGGAATGCAGCAAGATGAGCATAGTATGCAGGCGGCACTGCAACATCATAAAATCAATAAAAGAAACATATGTCAGCTACCATCCATGAATAAGCACACAACAAAAAACAGAACACCCCAATATCGTGCTGACATATAGACTACGTGTGCACACGAATGTGTGAGAGAGATGGAGAGAGACTAACCGATGGAAACAGAACGCGTGCAACGGGCATATCTGCAAAAATCAACAAGAGGCACGATCATATTAGTGCCATAATTTATCATAGAGAGAAAAACATTGGCAAGGGAGAGAGCTCAAGGACAGGAAAAAAACACATCATACTGTAAATTAAAGAAACATGATCTTACGTGTAGCAAAGATTGTTTGTAAGGGACTGCAATCCATCAGCAGTGAAATTGTTCTCATCGCAAAGTACATGGTAATGAGCTGGATGGCTTGTACCCTGTTGGTGGGCATTAGTGATATATCAAAAGCATCAAAGTACTTTGAAGGAATCAAATTTACAGAGACATGCAAGTCTTACCTTAATCCCAGCATGACTACACAAATAGAAGTCAAATTCAGTTGGATGACAAATTTTTGAATCCACAACAGTACCTGCCATATGAGAAGATTTTAGCAAAAAATATCTTGTGAATCTAAAACAGATGGAACACAATTCTCTCATCAACAAGCTAGATTGATTACCAGGCAATATATTCCCACTCCGGTCAACAGCATTACGGTCACGATGATCATTTGCAAACAGTCTAGTGTGATGACGCTTCTGAACCACAACAAATGTCACAGGAGGCTGGTAGTCGGGCTCTAAAGAAGCACATGCCTAATGATGAAGTCAGAAAAATGAAAAAGTAGAGGCTCACTTGATCCAACAAGGTGAGTAACATGCAAATTACACAGAGAGAGATTCAAAGGATAGCAGTTTTACCTTGCGAATTGCATCAAGTTCATAAAACAAAACTTGATAGAACTGTCCTTCACTGACACCATCTCTGGAAAATAAATACATCATTAGACGTTGCAACAATAAGCAACAAAACAGAAGAGAGAACAGAAGGATACCTATAGAATATAATTCTCTGTGGCTTCAGCCCTGTTGCTCTTCGGAAAGATATGAGAAGTTCCCTGCAATATGAAAAGAGACAATCAATCCTAATAACAACAAACAGCTCTTCATGGAGCAAAGAACCATCATCAACATCTAGTACAGATAGAATAATTGTTGACTCAGTGGTTTACTAACTAGGATCCAAGCACCAAACACACACATGGAGTTGGAAGAGAGGTGTTACGGGATGAAAGGTTAATCATACTTTATCATGCCACCAGACAGAGTCCCTCGTACAGGATCCTGCCATGTCTTATACAAATCTTGGATAAGCTCTTCTCGATGGGCTTGAGCACAAACCAGACCAGCATACTTAGTAACCTCTGGCCAATCTTGGGAAGCAACAACCTGCATTCAAATTTCGTTAGTTGATAACTAAAAACTGTAAATTGGCACAGCCTAACCAGGAGAAAATAGACGACGGGAATCAGAAGCTGAAGAGAAAAGAAATGCCACATACAGCTGCAATAGATGGGCTTGAGTCCTCCCCAGGTTGAGGATGAGTGACATCAGCACCAAAAATAATTGTAGGCCGGTCACTGACTAGAGGAATACGTCTTGATAATGCATCCACAAGCACAGTATTCCTTCCTCCAACCTTCACATTTATCTTCAAAGCCACATTGGCCAGATATCGCGGTAACATTTTGAATACATGCTGTGTCAAGCAGCACTGAGAAACAAGCCCAAGATCTGTCTCACAAATACGCTTCAAATTACCTGCACTCAAAAAACAAAATAAGTTGTAAAATCCAAAAACAATAATTGAAAGTAATTAAGGAAACAAACTTTTAAACACATGGAATGTTCACAAACATTTACAACAGCTACCTAAAATTTATAAAACAAGCACAAATCAATCTTCAGAACTTCATATAAAGTTCTCTTCAACTCATCACAAACTTAATGAAAATCATATATTTATAGGTAATATAAGAGAATTTTTTTCTTTTTGATGTAAAGAAAAAGAGACATTCATCTGCGCAAAAAAAAGAAGAAATTGCTTGTCAAAATTTTTTCCTCTTCAAAATGGCAGTCATCAACAGAGACTTTGAGTGAAACAAAACTGTTAGTCTAAAATAAGAAAGAAAAGAAATGTTTTTTTAATAGACCTCTCATCAATTCCCTCTGATTTCTCCCCAACAAATATTTCTAGAAGAAAAACAAGACTAAACAAGCACCATCAGCCTCACTGAATTCAATGTCATACCATAAAGAGAACCGTTGTTATCCGGGAGAATCACAATGAGCAAATCAAGCTCCTTGCTATGCGGCTGGTGTTTTGTCATTGCATCATGGTATCGAGTTTTCAAAACAGTTTCTACTTGGTCAGGAGGAGCACTGACGGGAGGAAGCAATGGCTCAAGAGCAAAGTCCTGCTTAAAAACCCACAACCCAATGTTCAGAGATGCCCAAAAAAACAAAGTTGAAAAAGAAATTGAAAGCAGATACCCCAAAGAATTGTGCAATTTCCATACCATGCCAGAAATTTGGCACATTTGTGCAAGTCTATAGCAAAATCTTCGGGCATCACTGTTTTGAACATTCCTCGAAAAATTGATGCAGATCCAATTATTCACTCTTCCTCCATTAACCATTTTCTGCCACATGATGACAATAGAACAAATTACAGTCTTTTAATTTGCAAGGAACTATGTTAAACACAATGAAGGCTAGAGATACAAACCCACAACAGACTACTAATATGCAGCCTACGATGCTAAATTTTGTAAATAAATTGCAATGATGCTTGAAAACAAGATCAAAGTGAACCTAACATGTACAACATGCAGACCTCCAAATAGTGCATCTAAAATGATACATTACACACATATCTCCACCGAACCCAATCATCGTCCAAGTTCCGGGGCCTCCCTTTCTAGAGATGGCCCACAGGGCATAATGGGTAATAAATCCCTAGCTTCCCTCCCACTTTCCCTCGTTTTCTACTACTCACAAACCATAATATAGCCGGACTAGTTTCTAGTTCTCACCACTGTCTCATGTCACTAAGTTACAAAGACATATAACAGCTTCTCATTCCATACAAACAAAAGAAAGAAAACATAGACAAAATACAGATAGGCCAAAGGTGATGTGAAATGCATCTCATCTCATTGTTATTGTATAGGGTAGTATAATACCTTATTCATCATGTTCCACTGCCCGACTTGAGGAAGACAATTCTTCTCTCTGCCTGTGTCATGATACTTGAGCTGCAAAGACAACACCAACAGCCAATGGACACTTACAACCAGGATATGTAAAGTTTAAATTGGTAACAAACAGATAGAAAATAAAGACTATTTACCCATGGGGGAGGCAGAATGCGAGCTTCAACCGAAGCAAGCTTTTCACTAATTTTGATACCAAACTCTTTAGCATAAGGATCGTTATGGTATGCATTGTGATGAACTGTCTGCAAAGAATAAGGCATATTAGAAATGTAATGATTCACAATTCGCTACTACTACATCGATAGGCATAAATAACTAACTAAAGGAAGCTATGCTAATTCATATAGCTTCAGTGCATAAAGACAAAAGAATGTATGTCAAATATCTAATACGATTGGTAGTCCCATATCTACTTATCTATACAGATAGCAAAATGTGAGATTGCCAATTTTAGGTGACAACTGAGCTCCAAAACCCCAATTTAAAAAGAAAAGCAATGCATAAAAAATCAAGAACGCAAAAGCATTTGTTAAACAAAAATCAATAATGCAGAAGCACTTGTTCAACAAAAAGACTACAATATACAGCTAATGAACTCTGGACGCATCCAGAAATGTTACAATTGCACAGTACAGAACATGCCCATGATATGACACCCACATAACAATCAAAACATGAATGCATGAAAGCAGTCGAATAGAAGATATCCACCACAACACCTTACCTGCCTAATATCTCGTTCCCTTTCTTTAGGACATTGGCAAGTCACCTTCGACAAAGCAGTGAACTGTCTCTCACTCAATCTTTTAGGGTACCTCTGACCCTCAACAATCTTACACACCTGTTTTCAAGAGACAATTCATAAGCAGGTACACCAATAAACCGAGACTACAAAACGGAAAGGCATGAATGTGTATTTACCTCCATAGGCAAATAGTTAGGTCTCTGTTGCTTTCCCACTTGCAGGCAAGGCCATTGAGTATGTTGAATTACAAAGCCATAGGTCTCATAAAAGTACTCCACAACAGATTTCAGGGTTCCTCTTTCATCGACCGGGAAACTAACCCACAGAAAAAATTGTCAGTCACTGAGACTACAAGCTATATCTAATTTCTAGCAGCAAGAACTTATGATGAAAAATGAAACTAACGTCAGCTCTCGTGTTGCTTGTGATGTTAAACCAGATATACGGTACTTTCTGCGTATATTTCCACGGTGTGTAACTTCAACTTTGACACCTCTGAGAGCTTTTTTAATCTGTTAATGGAGAAGAAATAGTGCCTTATGTCTCGTACATAGATAAATAAATTTGAGAAATTTGCACTTTGCAAAAGCAACATGACATATGTTATAGAAATTGCATCAAAAAACTATGAAATGTTTAAAAGAAAATACATTTAGGTGAGGCCAAGGGATAGGGTTTAATATTATTCTATAACATTAAGAGCAAAACAATAAAAAAAAATTATAACCTTTATACGATCAGAATCAGACAACACTTTGGAGGAAACATCCGGATTCAATAATTGAGTCACAAAATCAATTACTGGTAGCGGCTCAATGAAAGCAGTCGATGACATATCTGCAGCACAGACAAGCCATAGACAAATGTTAAATTGCAAAGACAGAAATTGCTATACATGTGCCAAATTATAGGATGGACAACAATCATGCATATTTTCAAGTGGTGTACTTAACCAAGACTAACCGCAGACACATTTAATCAATAAAATGTACCAATATTCAGGGAGAGTCCCATCTGTGTAGGGCGAATACTCTGATAGAAACCACGCCAACTCTCCAAGCCCTCGCCAAGAGGCTGTCTCCTTCCTAGGTCAGGGGAATAAAATGATCCACCAACTGGGCAGTACCTTCAGTTTCAGAACCTACTCTTCAGCATACAAAACTAACATTGAGCAAGATGCTAAAGTAAGCAACAGACTAATACCTAGCAGTAGGCAATTCACGCAGCACTACATCAAGAACTTGAAGGGCTTCCTGAGGTGCATCAGCTTGCCTTCCCTCCAAAAAGAGTCCTAAATGGTGCAGGTCAGCACGAGCAGCCAATTTGATCGCAACTTTGAATTCCCTCTCTCTCCTGAAAGAAGAAGAAAGATGATTAACAGCATGGAAGGCAAAACAAGATAAAGGTCAATGCACAGTTTTGATCCCACGGAAGTGAAGCAAAGTTGGAGAAGTGAAAGCAGTATTTATCTCACAGTGCTGCTGTTCCCCAAAAATTGAACCAGCATGCAAACCCATTACATGGAACCGACCAATGTCCCCCAAGTTCAAAAGGCAGGAAATGAAAAGAAATTAAACAACATAGAAAGCAAAAAATCAATAAGAACCTTTGCCCGCCTGTTCCATCATCCTCATCAATGAGGGTGATTTTGAAATCCTTCGCCTGAAAAGGAAGTGCCCCAGCTGTATAAAGACTCTTTTGTCCATCATAGGCAGGAAGGCGTTTTCCGAGATGAGATTCTCGGTACAATTTGACCAGTTGTTCCATTATAGCTCGATTAACACCCTTTGATGCAACCTTTGGAGTTATGGTAACCTGTTCCCATCAACACCAATTACCCACATGCAACAATAATTTATGAAACACAAATTACCAAGGGAAGAAACATGAAGAAGCATTCACTCACATCATACTGGTGCAAATCCTTGTCTGGTAGCTCAGCAAAGAAGTGATTAGCCTTTACAATACACCTTATTCCAGTGCTACCTTTGCCAGGCCGAAGAGGGAACCTCACTGATTTACTTGAGGCTGGCGGCGGCTGAGTTACCTGGCTAGTAGAAGCTTCTTGCTGGATAGACAGTTGTTGCATCTGCTGTGACACAGTAACTAACGATGGCTCTGGTGGTCGCATTGAAGAACTTGCCTCAGATGGCATAGGCTGAGCGGTCACCCCAGCTGGATAAGGAGCTGGAGTAGATAGGTGCAGCTTGGGTGCTTGTGGTTGCTGAGGTTGCCCTCTTCCTCGGCCCTGATATTCACGGGCTCCACCATAGTGCTGTTGTTGCATCCCTCCCCTACCTCTGCTACCACCATAACCACCTCCACGATCTCCTTGCTGAGACTGGGGACGCCAACCCCTTCCACCCTGGTATCCTCCTCCACCTCCTCCCTGTTGGGGTGGACCACTCCTCTCGGCAGGGGGCTGAGCACCCCGACCAGCACCAGGTTCCTGGGACTCAGAGCTCTCACCCCTACTTTGAGGAAGTTCTGTTCTTCTCTTCCTTGGCATGATGAAACCTGGAACAGCACAATAATTACTGCCACAAAGTGATTGCACATCTCAAGGCCAGCAATCAAAACATGATAAGCAATACACAATCGACCAAAAATAAATAACTTCTATGAAAGAGCAAGGTCATTAAAATATCACTGTATGATTAAAATTAAAAAAAAAATGAACACCTAAAATTAATGGTGCTTCGCAATAAAAGCTTTCCCAGAACTAACAGATAAATTAAATGTAAAAACAAAAATCCACAACAAAACTTATTTTCAAGGAAAAACCACCTCACCTTAACAGCCACAAGCATTCATATTCACAATAAGAAAAATGATAAATATATCCTAAAATTTCCACCAAAAAAGGTAAATAATCGACATAGATGTTTCAGTTCATAAACATACTGTTAAGCACACTTCTGGGGAGCTTGAAGATTGCCTGAAGTGCTGGGAAATGGCTTGAAGGTTGCTGGGAAATTGCTTGAATGTTGCCGGGAAAGTAAGACTTCTGGCCTTATTGAATGAGCTTCTACTTAAGGCTGAAAACCATATGAAAATGCAGACAAATAAAAAGAGGTCTACAAGAGTATTCTAAATTGGAGATTGGGTTTACCTTAAACTTCAAGCGTACAGGCAATAATCAATGGCTTCAAGGAAAAATCAGAAGTTAGCTCCCAAGTATTACGGACCCTTTCAGATTGTGGACAAAGTTGGGGAGGTGGCTTATACATTGCAACTTCCTCCAGAATCCTTAATCCATCCCACATTCCAGGTTTCACAGCTCAAACCTGCCTATAGGAATGAGTTAGTGCAACCACACCTACCTTTGAGTGTAAATGAGGACATTCATCCTGTGGCTATTCTGAATAGAAAGTTAGTCAAAAGGGGTAATAGAGCTGCTGCAAAATTGTTAATTCAATGGTCTAATAGTTCTGCAGATAAAGCTACATGAGAATATGCATTTGAAATGGCTGGATGTTTCCTTGAATTTGACCTTGAGGTCAAGGTCCTTTAAAAGGGGAAGTATTGTTAAGCACACTTCTAGAGAGCTTGAAGATTACCTGAAGTGATGGGAAATGGCTTGAAGGTTGCTTGGAAATTGCTTGAAGATTGCTTGAAGGTTGCCGGGAAAATAAGAAGACTGGCACATGGGAAGTTATAAGTGACCACATGTGAGAAGTTACTTAGTCATGTAATCAATCCTACGTGTAATTCACTTAGTCCACGTGTAATGTCAGTTAGTTAGGTTGTTAGGAAAACCGTCAGTTTTATACAAGAGCAAGAACACAAGAAGAAGCATTCTGTTTGGCATCCAATCTTCCTCTATCTTTCCTCTCTGAATTTTCCTCTGTAATTCTGTCTTTCTGTTTTCTCATCTGATTTCAATAATTCTAAACTTGTTTTGATTCATGTATCCATTGTTCTTGCATTTGATTGAATAATACAAAATTCCTTTGAATCACCACAGAATCTTGTTCCTTCATCCTATTGTTCTTGATTTGTGAATTTGAAACGTATCACATACATTAAATAATTAACTAAATAAAGAAAAGTTTCAGAGTTCGCATTAATCAACAAAAGAAATGCTACTAAACTCTAAATAATAAAAGCAATACACTAATCATACCACCAAAAACCAAAAACAAAAACCCTAGCTCAAAAAACTCTAGTACACTCACTTAATACACCACAAAACCACTAAAAAACCCTAAGAAAGAAATACTACAAAGCCACGGCGAAAAGATCTCGCGATCTAAAACCAAAACACTATATTTCACAACTCGAGGAGGCAAACCGTGACCAACACAAGAAAATATGTATTGAGTTTAAATGTTAAATACTTTCGGTGTCGACATTTTTCCTTTTGATGTAACAAGCATGGATAACCTTTTTAAATAGATTATCAAACAATCTTTTTATATTAATATTTAATACTTAAGTATATACATAAAAAAAAGCACAGAACAAATATATATACACGCACACTTAAAATATATATATATATATACACTACTCAGAAAAATAGCGCTCTGACGGATAAACAAAACCAAACGAAGGATATTCTTAACCCAATAAACATCTAAATTTCTCATCCAATAAAAAATTAATACCTGTAGAAAAAAGATAATTAAAATTTGTCATCCGATCCAAAATAAATGATGCACGAAAAACGAAAACCCACCCCCTGAGAAATCAGTGCCATTCCTAGATGTAGCGTTCGTTGCATGTGTTAAATCAGAGTGTGTTGCAAGATCCCAAATCAAAATTCACAACAACGCGCTCCCAGAAGCTTGCATTTGGATTCAGCTGTCAAACGAACGGTTAAAAAACATCTACCACGACCGATACAAACGCACAAGCAAATAGCCAAATATGAACCTCTACAAAATCCACATCAGGATTTTGTAACCAAATCCACCTAGACACCTGCCAATTTCAAGATCCAGGCGAAGTCTAGGAGAAGGAAAGCCAATGCATGAAGTGCCGGTTTCAAGACAAGTTGGTAACTAAAAAATTTAGAATTCAGGTCGTTCAATTTAATGGAAAATGAGCAGAACGAATAATGAAATCGCAACTTTCTGATTACAGCAGTTCTCAACAAGTAATTTAAATATCAACTTTCTGGTTAGCTTGATATTGTCCTTCAAGGTCAAGGTGTCTGCCAGTATCAGTAGCTTTGCCAACAGAACTGTTTTAACTAGCGATTTAAACAACAATCCAAAGGTAGGGCTCTCGGGAAATCCTAACAGTAGAACATAACCCGCTTGACATTCTCCTTCAGGGCAGGCAGGGGCCTCACAGCAGCCATAGCAGCAGGTCCACGTGTAGGTCGAGCACCAGCTCCTACACCTCCACGTCCAGCAGCCATACCACTTGTCATTGATCCGCTGTCTGATGTCTCTGGTTCCATGTAGAAACGAGCTCGGAATGCAGCAAGATGAGCATAGTATGCAGGTGGCACTGCAACATCATAAAATCAATTAAAAAAAATAGCAGTTATACGTCTGCTACCATCCATGAATAAGCACACAACCAAAAACAGAACACCCCAAGATCGTGCTGACATATAGACCATGTGTGCACATGCATGTGAGGGAGAGATGGAGAGAGACTAACCGATGGAAACAGAACGCGTGCATCGTGCATATCTGCAAAAATCAACAAGCAGCACAACCCATATTAGTGCCACAATTTATCATAGAAAGAAAAACATTGGCAAGAAAGAGAGCTCTAGGAGAGGAAAGAAACACAGCATTCTCTAAATTAAATAAACATGATCTTACGTGTAGCAGAGATTGTTTGTAAGCGACTGCAATCCATCAGCAGTAAACTTGTTCTCATCCCAAAGTACATGGTAATGTGCTGGACGGCTTGTACCCTGTTGGTGGGCATTAGTGAGAAATCAAAAGCATCAAAGTACTTTGAAGGAATCAAATTTACAAAGACATGCAAGTCTTACCTGAATCCCAGCATGACTACACAAATAGAAGTCAAATTCAGTTGGATGACAAATTTTTGAATCCACAACAGTACCTGCCATATGAGAAGAGTTTAGCAAAAAATATCATGTGAATCTAAAACAGCTGGAACACAATTCTCTCATCACCAAGCTAGATTGATTACCAGGCAATATATTCCCACTCCGGTCAACGGCATTACGGTCACGATGATCATTTGCAAACAGTCTAGTGTGATGACGCTTCTGAACCACAACAAATGTCACAGGAGGCTGGTAGTTGGGCTCTAAAGAAGCACATGCCTGATGATGAAATCAGAAAAATGAAAAAGAGGCTCACTTGATCCAACAAGGTGAGTAACATGTAAATAAAACAGAGAGAGATTTGAAGGATAGCAGTTTTACCTTGCGAATTGCATCAAGTTCGTACAACAAAACTTGATAGAACTGTCCTTCACTGACACCATCTCTGGAAAATAAACACATCATTAGACATTGCAACAATAAGCAACAAAACAGAAGAGAGAACAGAACGATACCGATAGAATATAATTCTCTGTGGTTTCTGCCCTGTTGCTCTTCGGAAAGATATGAGAAGTTCCCTGCAATATGAAAAGAGACGATCACTCCTAATAACGACAAACAGCTCTTCACAGAGCAAAGAACCATCATCAACATTTAGTACAGATAGAATAATTGACTCAATGGTTTACTAACTAGAATCCAAGCACCAAATACACATGGGGTTGGAAGAGAGGTGTTAGGGCATGAAAGGTTAATCATACTTTATCATGCCACCAGACACAGTCCCTCGTACAGGATCCTGCCATGTCTTATACAAATCTTGGATAAGCTCTTGTCGATGGGCTTGAGCACAAACCAGACCAGAATACTTGGTAACCTCTGGCCAATCTTGGGAAGCAACAACCTGCATTCAAATTTCATTAATTGATAAATAAAAACTGCAAATTGGCACAGCCTAACCAGGTGAAAATAGACGAAGGGTATCAGAAGCTGAAGAGAAGAAATTCCACATACAGCTGCAATAGATGGGCTTGAGTCCTCCCCAGGATGAGGATGAGTAACGTCTGCACCAAAAATAATCGTAGGCCGGTCACTGACTAGAGGAATACGTCTTGATAATGCATCCACAAGCACAGTATTCCTTCCTCCAACCTTCACGTTTATTTTCAAAGCCACATTGGCCAGATATTGCTTGCTCATTTTGAATACATGCTTTGTCAAGCAGCACTGAGAAACAAGCCCAAGATCTGTCTCACAAATGCGCTTCAAATCACCTGCACTCAAAAAAAAAAAGTTGTAAAATCCAAAATTAATAATTGGAAGTAATTATGGAAACAAACTTTTGAACACGTGGATTGCTCACAAAGATTTATAACATCTACCAAAAATTTATAAAACAAGCATAAATTAATCTTCAGAACTTCATATAAAGTTCTCTTCAATTCCTCACAAACTTAATGAAAATCAAAGATTTATAGGTAATATAAGAGAATTTGTTTTCTTTTTGATGTAAAGAAAAAGACCAAGAC